AAAGACAAATATCATATGACTTCACTCATGAGGACTTTAAGACACAGAAAAGATGAACACAAGGGAAGAGAAGTAAAAATAATACAAAAACAGACAAAACATAAGAGACTCTTAAATTTGGAGAACAAACAGAGGGTTACAGGAGGGTTGTGGAAGGGGAGGATGGGCTAAATGGGTAAGGGACAATAAGGAAATCTACTCCTGAAATCATTGTTGCACTGTATGCTAACTAACTTGGATGTAAATTAAAAAAAGAAAAAAAAAAGAAAAAAAGATAAGATAGTGCTCAGTAAAGAATTGAGACATACAAAAGGACACAGGAATCAACCTGAAAGAGCTCCCAATGACCAAAATTAGAATAATTGGAACAATGAACTGATGATTGCTTTGGATTGGTACCTGTAGAATAAAATAAATATCCATGAGTTCACAGTGATAAAAATAATTAAATAACTGAAGGAGAAGGGATGGCTCACAAAAGAATGCCAATTAACAAATGGAGAAATAAGGAAAATAGGAAATCATTAATTTGTTCATCAAAACGATAAGGAGCCGCTGAGGCAACCCTTGTGCACTTTGATCTCCTCTCTGGCTAGATTAAATAATCCACAGTATTTAATTAAATAAAGCTTCTCACCTCTTACAAATTTAGCTGAGGCAAAGGCCACGGCCCCCACTTTACAGACAGGGAAGTACAGGTGCTTGGTGGCAGGCCACGAGCCTAAGAACCTGGCTCCAGGGCCAAAATGGCTCAAATACTACTCTGCACCATGCAAACCTCTCCTCACCCTATTTAGACCTTGGAATTTCTATTTCATTTCTTTCTTTGAATTACCAGACCTTTTGTGATCAAAACCTTAACTGTGTTTCAAGATCCAGCATGCTTCTTATGCGGTGCCTGGGTGGCTCAGTCAGTTAAGCACCTGACTTTAGCTCAGGTCATGATCTCATGGTTCACGAGTTCAAGCCCCGCATCAAGCTCTCTGCCCACTTTGGATCCTATGTCCTCTTCTCACTCTGCTCCTCCCTTGCTTGCACCCTCTCTCTGTTTCTCTCAAAATAAATGAATAAACTTAAAAAAAAAATCCAGCATGCTTCTCCAAGAATCCCCAGTGTATCAGGATTCATTTGATTGTAAGTAACAGAAAACTGATCTCAAACCATCTGGAGCAAAAAAAAGAATTTCCTGGCACATATAACTAGAAAGTCTATTTCAGGCTCAGCAAGATCTAGGGACTCAAATGACTACTTCCCTCCACAATACTGACTCCATTCACAGACAGGTTTTGCCCTCATGGTGGCAAAATGGCTTCCAGCAGCTCGAGTCAACATCCTATACCCACAGCTAATACAGCAGAAAAGGCAGTGTTCTGTGGGGAATACCCTCAAAAGTCCTGGACCTGATGTTCACTGACCAATACTGGTTCAAATGCCCGTCCTTGAACCAATCTCTAGGACCAGAGGAATGGACTCTATAGATGACCTAAGTCAAGTGCCCCCTCTTGGAGCTGAGGATGGGGTGAGCCTCACTCAAACCTCATGATGACTACATGAAACATGAGTGGCTCCCCAAAAGAAGTTTTGGATGCTACTTCCCAAAACAAGAATGGCTCTGGGACTGAAAATTTAATGTATGTCTACCACACCCCAACCCCTTGGTCAGAATCGACGCAATCCTGCTTCCTCCAGTCCAGTCTGGACATCCATACCAGCTGTGACTTCTTTCTGCCTTGTGGACATACTGGTTCACACCTGTCATCTCTGTTTATAAGCATCCTGGACACCGAGAGTCTGGTTCTCCAAAGCCCTGGGGCTTTGCCACACCCCCTGACCCTGAGCTGCCCAGCAAAGTGCCACTGAGCCCCTAAAAAACACTACTTCACTTTGACTCCTACCCCCTCCTGATGTGAAGCTGAGTCATTGAGATACCAGCCAGCTGAGCGCCAACCTTGAAAGTGCTTCTCTAAGTCACTGTCTCTTGGCTCTAGCATACTCTGGGACCTGGGGACACTGGCTTGACAGGTAAGATAATTATGTTTTACCCTTCACTCATTCTTTTATCAGTCACGAAGACAAGAACAGATAAGTGTTCCAATGGAAGAACACACTCTTGCAGTATTTACTCGTGCTCTTTAGTGCCAGCCAGGTCCCCTTCCCAGGCACAACTCCCAGGGACCAGTCTGCACCCCTGTTATCGGTGCCAACTACCACATGATGCCCTCCTGTCAAATATCACACTGCACCTTCCTTCCTGCAACCCCCAAAGTCGCCAACTTCTCCAGGAGCTGTGGCACCACTGTCTTTCAGATGACTTACACATGAGGGCAACTGTCTGCACATTACCCATCCCCTGTTCCTCTGCAGAGCACTTGCCCCTGTGTCTTGGCCTGGCCTCTGTGCAGAACGTCACTCTGGGGGCCCCAAGGCCCGGAGCACTGGTTAGATGGAGAAAGAGGGGCCGGGAAAGGCAGGAGTTTGGCATTAAGTCCCAGAAATGGAGGGCTTTGAGTTTTTCCAATACAAACTAACATTTCGTTCATTCATTTGTTCAACAAACCTTTATTCACCACCTACCATGTCTGAGGTACTGCTGTAGGTGCTACAGACATGGAGATACACAGACAGACCAAGTCTCTGTCCTCATGGGAGAACATCTCCCAGTAGACATTGGACTTACTTTTGAAACCTGCTGTACATTTACATTTCACAACACACCCTCTCAGATATCTATATAATCTGCAGTATGTGGCATTGCCAACTGCAGTCTCCAGAAAGGAAAATGGCAGCTCCAAAGGCTAAATGACCATCCCAAAGACAGAGCACAAACTCAGGTCTTCCGAATACAAACCTAGCACCCTTTCTAGGTCCTCTCCCGAGGAAGGAGCTAGCAGGGTGCAGCCTGAAACAGATATTAAGTCAACTCAGTCCTAGGCATCATCTCTAGAAGTAGAAAATATGGAAAAGATGAGCCAATCCCTGATCTAAAAGAATCTATATTCTAAAGTGAGAGACATGTAACCAATTATCATCTTTCATAGGAATAAAGGCGACAGAGTGATTAAATTCAAACAGGAAGGTATCTCTGGAAGGATACACAGGACAAGATGATCATCACTCCCAGGCAGGAAAACTAGCTATGTGAAGAACAGCAGGAGGAGGATCATTTTCTATGTTCAAATGTTTCTATGTTCAAACTTGGAATCGCATGCCAGGTGACTCTAGTTCCCATTAAACAACACTTTGAGGACGCAATCAGCCAAATCCTGAATATGCAAAATTCTACAGGACAAATGATCTGCTTTCTTCAATAAGCAAATAGCTCAAAAAAGGAGGGGGAGGAGGAAAGAGAGATATTATAGATTGGAGAAGATTTTGGTTGCTGTTTCCTAATGCAATATATGCCACTTCATTTGGATCCAGATTGCAATGAACCAACTTTAAAAAAAAAAAAAAAAACATTTTAGGAACCAGGGATATTTGAGTATACACTAGATATTAGAAATTATTAAGGACAGGGGCTCCTGGGTGGCTCAGTCGTTAAGCGCCAACTTTGGCTCAGGTAATGATCATGTAGCTCGTGAGTTCAAGCCCAGCGTCGGGCTCTGTGCTGACACAGCCTAGAACTGCTTCGGATTCTGTGCCTCCCTCTCTCTCTCTGCCCCTCCTCCACTGACGTTCTGTCTCTCTCTCTCAGAAAATAAACATTAAAAAATTTTTTTAATTAAAAAAAGAAATTAAGGACATATTATTAATTTTGTTAATTAGGAGTATGGTATCATAGTTTTTTTAAGGTACTTATCTATTAGAGATACAAAGTGAAGTAGTTACAGATGAAATAATATAATGCCTAAGATTTGCTTTTAAATATTTGAGCAAAGGGGCTCCTGGATGGCTGAGTCATTAAGCATCCTACTTTGGCTCAGGTCATGATGTCACGGTTCAGGAGTTCGAGACCCGCATCAGACTCTGTGCTGACAGCTCAGACCCTGGAGTCTGCTTCAAATTCTGTGTCTCCCTCTCTCTCTGGCCCTCCTCCACTCATTCTCTGTCTCTCTCTCACAAATAAATATTTTTAAAAATTTAAATATTTCAGCAAAAATAAATGAATGAATAGAGAGTAGATGACACAAGATTGGCAAAATGTTGATAATGTCTGAAGTTGGATGATAGTTCCATAGGGTTCATTATACTATTCTCTCTACTCTTGTTAATGGTTGGAATTTGTATAATGAAAAGTTTAAATAAAAACTTTAAAATTAATTACCCCATCCACCAGGAATGATTGAGAAGGAAAAGTGTCACGGAGGAGAGGTATTTGAGCTGAGACCAGGATGACTAGAGATTTTCTAAGGGGCCAAGGGCATTGCAGGCTGAGCAAAGACATACAGATCTATCACAAACCTCTCTCTGGAGGAACCAAAAGTATCTACACTTGACCCCAAACTCAACTCACATCCAAAAAAATGCCCTCTTGTGTGATGCCCCAACCCATCTCATTGTAGCATCAAAATCAACTGACTGTTCCAAGTGAGGAGACAGGGAGTGGGGTCAACAGCTCCACTCAGAGGCCTAACAGGAAGCCCCAGTGTAGCCTTGAGAGGACAGGAAAGCAATTAACCTCTTTCAACTGGGTTTTGCCTGACAAAGCACTTCAGAAGCCAACTGAGTTATCTCAGGAACAGAGCCTTCATCCCTCCTGAGTCATCCCAGACACCTTGTGCTCCCCAGAAACATACACCAGCCTCCCCAACAGTGCCTTGTAGATTAATAACCTCAGTATCACAGGATCCAGCTTGATGTCAGCCTGGTAGCCTGGCCCATCAGCACAAAAACACCTCCAATGAGGAAAAATCCTCTGCTCCTTGCCTCCAAGCCTCCAGCCTCAATCCTCGCACAGCCCCTGCCCCACTTCAGCTCCACACAGAAAGCTCGCTGGCTTGGCAGGTACTTCAGGACTTACCCAGTCTTGGCCTGGCTCAGCCGGGCCCAGGGTTCCTTACCTTGGATAGAAGCTGCAAATACTCCTCTGAACCATAGGGGACACTCCTCAAAGAGGTGAGATAGTCATAACTGATGACAGCTGTCTGTGAACCAAGGAAACGAGAGGCTTAGCACCTGGACATTCAATATCGCTCATCCACCCGGTCCCGCAGCTGCTGGCCCCTGACAGAGGCAGTGTGTCTAGAGAAGTAGACAACCCCTCCGCTGCGATGCTCTGCCCCCAGATCTTAGCCTGGCCAGCTTCCTCCTGTCAGTCAGAGCTCTGCACAAATGCCACCTCTGCAGAGAGCCCTAATCGAAGGCTGCCCCACCCACCAGGAACTCTCAATTATTCATCATAACAAAATTATCCTATCCAAAATTACCTCACTCATTTGTTTCCTGGTAGGTGGACTATCTCCTCTTTGCTAGAATTTCAGCTCTATAAACACAGAGGCTTGTCCTTCCTGCTCATCACTGCATCCCCAGCCCCTTTGTACAGTGCCAGACACACAGGTAAATGCTCAGTAAAGACTAGTTGAACAAATGCTGTTGGATAAACGTATTACCACAAGTAAACATCGTTTTACATTTATGTTTGCTCTAACAGCCTAAGTTTTGATTCTGGGTCCCTTGGCCAAAAGTCTAGGAGAAGTCCCCATGTTCTTGGTGAAATCAGGAAATTACAGGCTTCCAGATATCTCAGACATGGAGGAGGCTTGAGGATTACCTAGGCCAACCCTTCCTTTTTAGAACTGAGCAACTGAGGCCCCTGGAAGGTAAGAGGCTTACAAGGCTGATACCTAGAGGAGTCTGCTCCCTTGTCTACACTCCCAAAGCTTTATTCCACTCGATATAAATGTGTTGAGCACCAACCGCGAACAAGAGTTGGTCACTGAACAAAGCACAAGGCCAATCAAGACCAGAGCCCTGGCCTTCAAAGAATGCACAGCCTAGTGGCTGGTTTATAAATCACTGGTAAATGCCTTCTTCCCTCATTCCCAGCTACAGCTGGCCCTTGAACAACATGGGTTTGAACTGTGCGGGCCCACTTACACGTGGGGTTTTACCGGTAAATTACCATATGGTACTGTAAATGTATGTTCTTTATGGGTTTTTTTTTTAACGTTTATTTATTTTTGAGAGAGAGCGTACCCATGTGCGAGAGAGAGGTGGGGGAAGAGGCAGACAGAGAGGGAGACAGAGGATTCGAAACAGGCCCTGCACTGACAGCAGAGAGCCCGACATGGGGCTCAAACCCATGAACCATGATACCATGGCCTGAGCCGAGTCAGACGCTTTATCAACTGAGCCACCCAGGCACTCTTTCCTTATGATTTTCTTAATAACATTTTTTTCTAGATTACTTTATTATAAGAATACAGTATATAATACATATGACATACAATGTGTTAATCGACTCTTCATGTTATCTGTAAGACTTCCGGTCAACAGTAGGCTATTAGTGGTTAAGCTCTGGGGGAGTCAAAAGTTATACGTGGATTTTTGACTGCATGGGTGTCAGCACCCTAACCCGTTGTTAAGGGTCAACTATATTCAAACCCCTAAGGTTCCATCAAAGCCTGCTTCCCCTAGGACACTCATCCTGACTCCCGGCCTACGGGTCTCACACTTGTGTCTGAGGTCCCGTAGCAGTGGTCACCTGAATCACACATCTTGATCCGATCCACGGCTTTAAAACAAATCCATTGCTTTTTGACCCATTCACATGAGCACTCCTCAACCATCAGCTCCTTCAAAGCTGGGTGTGGGTAGGACGGTTCATTTCTACCTCTCAAAGCCTGTAAAGACCACACTGGGCCCCCAGAAAGCACTTGATAAACACTCAGGAATCATTTCATACTCTATGGCCTATCTATTTATCTATTTGTCCATTAGATTCTATGACTAGCTAGGGAGAAGACTTCACAACACTGAGTATTAAGGAAATGATCAGACAACAACCCAAACAGACAGCGCACAGAGTATATCTATGCCAAGGGGAAGAAAGGATGACTTCATCCTGCAGCAGACAGAGGAGGCAAGAAAGCACGAAGCACGTGGCAAATGACCCACGAATGGGGCAGTTACATATGCATGTTTGGGAGAGCTCCTTTCAGCAGAGTTAGGAGGACATGATTCAACAGGGAGGATGTTCCTGAGCCACTGGAGAAAACTTCTAATGGTGAAATATTCAACTAAGATGCTCTTTTTTTTTTAATGTGTATCTACTTTTGAGAGAGAGTGTGAGTAGGGGAGGGGCAAAGAAGTGGGGAGGGACAGAAGATCCAAAGTGGGCTTTGTGCGGACAGTAGTGAGCCCAATGCAGGGCTCGAACTCACAAACCATTAGATCATGACCTGAGCCAAAGTTAGACATTCAACTGATTGAGCCACCCAGGACCCCTCAGATTAGATTGAGGGTTGGAGGGGAGCCCCAAAGTTTTCCAAGGCCCAGATGTTCTGAGTATGAGCCCTGCATCAGGAACCACTCACACTAGCACACTGAAGAGAAAGCCAAGTTTTCTGGTAGAGTTTGATCAAGGCTGCAAAGTCTTTCCACGTACATTTGCTGAGGAGCACTGGTCCAGGTCTGTCTCTAAAATTACATACAGAATCTAACATGTCAAAGCTTCAGAACAGAGACCCTGTGAAATCCCATTCTATTTCGGCTTAGTATGACAGAGGTTGGGCGTACAGGAATATAGGTGCCTGAGGGTGCACACCCATGCCTGTGCTACTGTGCAGAGGGAGCTTTGCACAAGGAAGGGCACACATGCAGCTCCACACGTGTGGCTGGCATGTATATCTGTTACATGTACAAACACCTGCAGGTAATACAGCAGTTCCTCTGCCACACTGACAATAAGAAAAACCTACCGTTGCAACTGCTCTGCCCACCCTGACAGCACCAAAGTCATTAGGATCCAAGTACTTGTTGCTGTAGAGGAAGAAGCCAGAGGCAGCAAGAGCCATGCCGGTCCACGAAGCAAGCTTGAGAGCCCTTCGGGCCATGTCCCCAGACCCTGCCGAAGGAAAGCAGAGAAAAGGAACAGTTGAGTTCCATAGTTAGTCAGACCAGGATTCAAATGCAGCTCCGCCACTTAATAGATTATACAACCTTGGGCCATTTTCTCAATCTTACTGATCTTTGTTTCCTCGTTTTTGGGGTAGCTGCCTCAAAAGTCGTTGGGATAAAATGAGATCATGTACATAGAAGGCTTAGCAGAGTACCTGGCACAAGCCAACTCTCAAGGTCATTTTTCCTTCCACAGTGCCAGGCACCATTCTAGGCACTGGGGACAGAAGGAACAAAACAAAGTTCTTGCCCACATGGACTTACACTCTAGATGGGACAACAGATCAGAAGCAAACAGACATATATCAGAATAGCAACTGGTATTAAGTACGGAGAAGAAAAAGAGGGTAAGAGGATGATGAATATGTGACAGAGGTGCTATTTTAAACAGGGGAAGTGGCAGAACATACTAACCACTGTTACTTGTAACTATTATTTGTACCACCATGCACATATAGGCATCATTAATTAGCCCTCCATGCCCAGGTCTGAAGTGCTCAGGCCACGGTCAAAATGGCAGCTGGTCAGAATCAGCCAGATAAGCTCTCAGTGTCTGGCTGATTTCCAAAATATTTATTTCAGTTAGAGTAAACTGCTCCCTGTCTAGATTGTGAGCTCCCTGAAGTTTTGCCTGAAGGCAAATACCATGACTATTAGTACACCGTCCACTCACAGTCTTGCAGGATACTATGCGGTTAAGGATTCGATGTCCACGTGCTGATTTGATCTGTTCAACCAAACATACTCCCAGTCGGTAGGATCAAGTGGGCTCAAGGCTCTTTGATACCCTTCCCCCCCCTACTTATACCAGCTCAGCCCACCAGGTGGACTGTTGGAGCATTGGGAGGTCACTGTACCCAATGGGCTGCTTCCTCTTTAATTTCTGGGAACTCTATATCAGACTAAAATCCTCGACCATAGCTGCAGGTACCAGGGGAGAAGTCCCACCCAGGAGAAGTGAATCACCAAGTCATCCACACGTGCAAACCTGTATAGAAGCAACAGGAAGATTCAGGCCATCACTGTTTGCTCTGCTTTGGACTCAGTCTGTGACCAGCCCCTCCCTGCTCTGTGCTTCTGTTTCCTCTTTGTATGAAAACTATTGCTACACACAGTCTTGTCTTCATTTTCTTTAAAATGTATTTGGACTCATGCCTCATAGTATAGCCACAGATTTTCTTAAAATCTTTAATTTTATTTGAGTGAAAGAACACAAGTGGGGAAGAGGGGCAGAGGAAGAGAGAGAGAATCTTAAGCAGGCTCCATGCTCAGCACAGAGCCTGACACGGGGCTCAATCCTACAGACCTGAGCCAAAATCAAGAGTCAGAGGTTCAACCCACTGAGCCACCCAGGCATCCCACAGATTTTTTTTTTTAAGTATTCATAGGTACATTTTATTCCATTCTTCTACTTTCAACTTAAATTTATACTGTTTCTTTAAACAACATATAGTTGATTTTTTTCTTTTTGCAATTAATATAACCTATGTATTTAGATTTAATTTTAGCATCTTCTTCTATGTCTTCTATTTTTCCTACCTGTTCTATTTCTTTTTCTCTCCTTTCTTGGCCCTTTCTGGACTCAATAATTTTTATAATTCTGTTGTTTTTCTCCTTTGCAGTCTTCTTTTCCTAATCCAACATTTCTAAAGTATGGTCAGAGGAATACCTATAAAAATACCATTTCAAAAATGCAGATCTCAGGGGTGCCTGGCTGGCTCAGTGGATAGAGCGTGAGACTCTTGACCTCAGGGTTGTAAGTTTGAGCCCCATGTTGAGGATAAATATTACTCAAAAATAAAATCTTATTTATTTTTTTAAAAGTTTATTTATTTCGAGAGAGCATGTGTGCATGCACAAGTAGGGGAGGGGCAGAGAGAGACAGAGAGAGAGAATCCCGAGCAGGCTCTGCGCTGTCAGATCTCACGGGGCTCAATCTCACAAACTGCAAAATCATGACCTGAGCCAAAATCAAGAACTGGAGACTTAACCAACTAAGCCACACAGGCACCCCTAAAATCTTTTTTTTAATCTAATAATTTATTTTTTATAATTTACATCCAAGTTAGTTAGCACATGGTGCAACAATGATTTCAAGAGTAGATTTCTTAAGCCCTTTACCCATTTAGTCCATCCCCCCTCCCACAACCCCTCTACAACCCTCTGTTTGTTCTCCATATTTAAGAGTCTCTTCTGTTTTGCCCCCTCCCTGTTTTTATATTATTTTTGCTTCCTTTCCCTTATGTTCATCTGTTTTGTATCTTAAAGTCCTCATATGAGTGAAGTCATATTATACTAAAATCTTTTTTTAATGTAGATTTCTTACACTATATTAACAAAATGAGGGATAAAAATCAGATCATCTCAACAATGCAGAAAACGCATCTGACAAAATTCAACACTCATTAATGATTAAAAACTCTCAACAAAGTAGATACAGGGGAACATACCTCAGCATAATAAAGGCCATATATGATAAGCCCACAGCTAACATCATACTCCATGGTGAAAGGCTGAAAACTTTTCCTCTAAGATCAGGAACAGGACAAGGATGCCCACTCTCACCTCTGTTATTCAACACAGTACTGGAAGCCCTAGCAAGAGCAATTAGGAAAGAGGAAGTAAAAGGCATCCAAATTGGGAAAGAAGAAGTAAAACCGCCACTATTTGCAGAAAACATATTATATATAGAAAACCCTAAGCAATCCACCAAAAAACCATCAGAATAAACAAATTCAGTAAAGTTGCAGGATACAGAATCAGCATGCAAAAATCTGTTGGGTTTCTATGCACTAATAATGAATAATCAGAAAGAGAAATTATGAAAATCCCACTTATAATTGCGTCAAAAATAAAATATCTCAGAATAAATTTAACCAAGACCTATACACTGAAAATTATAAGACACTAATGAATTGAAGATACAAACAACTGGCAAGATATTCTGTGTTCATGGATTGGAAGAATATTATTAAAATTTCCTTGGGGCGCCTGGGTGGCTCAGTCGGTTAAGCGGCCGACTTCGGCTCAGGTCATGATCTCGCAGTCCGTGAGTTCGAGCCCCGTGTCGGGCTCTGTGCTGACAGCTCAGAGCCTGGAGCCTGTTTCAGATTCTGTGTCTCCCTCTCTCTGACCGTCCCCCGTTCATGCTCTGTCTCTGTCTCAAAAATAAATAAACGTTAAAAAAAAAATTTTTTTTTAATTTCCATATTACCCAAAGCAATCTACAGATACAATGCAATCCCTATCAAAATTCCAAAGGCAGTTTTCACAGAAATAGAACAAACTATCCTAAAATTTATATGGAACTACAAAAGACCAAGAATACCCAAAGCAATCTTGAGGAAGAAGAACAAAGCTGGAGGTATCATGGTCTCTGATTATACTACTATATTACAAAACTGTAGTAATCAAAGCAGTATGGCATTGACATAAAAACAAACACATAGATCAATGGAAGCCAGTAGAGAGTCCAGAAATAAACCCATGCGCATATGGGCAATTAATTTACAACAAAGGAGCCAAGAATACACAGTGGAGAAACGACAGTCTTCTCAACAAATAGTGTTTGGAAAACTGGATGGCCACATGCAAAAGAATCAAACTGGACCCCTATCTCATATCATACACAAAAACTAACTTAAAATGGGCTAAAGACTTGAATGTAAAATCTGAAAACATAAAACTCCTAGAAGAAAACATAAGCCATAGCTCTTGGCAATGACTTTTTGAATCTGACACTAACAGCAAAAGCAACAAAAACAACAAATGGGAATACCTCAAACTAAAAAGTTTCCATACAGCAAAGGAAACCACCAACAAAATGAAAAGGCAACCTACTGAATGGGAAAAAATATTTCCAAATCATATATCTGATAAGGGATTCATATCCAAGATCTATAAAAAAAAACCATACAATTCAACAGTTTAAAAAATCTGATTAAAATACAGGCAGAAGATCTGAATAGATATTTTCCAGGGAAGACATACAAATGGCCAACAGTTATACCAAAAGACGCTCAACATCAGTAATCATCAGGGAGATGCAAACTGAAGCCACAATGAGATATTACCTCAGACCTGCTAGGATGGCTACTATCAAAAAGACAAGAAATAACAAGTGATGGCAAGGAAATGGAGAAAAAGAAACCCTTGTGTACTGTTGGTGGGAATGTGAATTAGTGCAACCACTATGGAAAACAGTATGGAAGCTCCTCAAAGACTTAAAAATAGAACTACCATATGACTCAAATACCCAGAAGTGGAATTGCTATCCAAAGAAAACAAAAACATTAACTCAAAAAGATATATACATTCACATGTTTGCTGCAGTATTGTTTATAATAGCCAAGGTAAGAAAACAACGTAAATGCCCATCAATGGATGAACGGATAAAGAAAATGTGATATATATGTGAATATAATGGCATATAACTCAGCCATGAAAAGGAAGGAACTCTTGCCATTTGTGACACATGGATGGACCTAGAGTGAAATAAGTCAGAGAGAGAAAGACAAGTACTATATGATCTCACTTATATGTGAAACCTAAAAAACAAAAAACCAACTCCAGATACAAAGAACAGCTTGGTGGTTACCAAAGACAGGGGGCGGAGGTGGGCAAAATGGGCAATGGGGATCAATAGGTACAAACTCCCAGTTATAAAATAAATAACTCATGAGGATGTAACATACAGCATGGACTTTAATTAACAATATTTTATTACATATTTGAAAGTTGCTAAGAGTAAATCCTAAAAGTTCTCATCAGAAGAAAAAAATTTAGGGACACCAGGGCAGCTCAGTCGGTTAAGTGTCCAACTCTTGATTTTGGCTCATGTCATGATCTCACGGTTCATGAGATTGAGCCCACGTCCAGCTCTGTGCTGACAGCATGGAACCTGCTTGGGATTCTCTCTCTCCCTTTCTCTCTCTCT